GTGTGTGTGTGTGTGTGTGTGTGTGTGATATGATATGAAGTTTATGTGGCCTTATGTCTTGGTTCTTTATAAAAACAGCTTGAGATTTTTTTCTCCTAAACCCTGAGGAGTTACATTTGCCCTTGTCTTCTACCCCAGAGGGTTTTACTTCTGTCCAGATTGACTGACATATCTGGGTAAGCTATAAACAACTATAGTTTGGACTTTCTGTCTGGGCCTCACCTACAGTCTGCACCGTGATTGGTCTACCTTATGCACCTTGCAGGAAACGTCAATATACCTATGCAAATTGACTATAGCCTATTAGGCAAATGAAGTATCTGTCGAGAGACCCCACAAATGCTGGCAGTTAGAAGACAAAAGGAAGAAACAAGAAAGGAAGAAAGGCCAGACACAATTAGAGACAAGCAGTGGAGAAAGAGGAGGCAAGGAACCTCCTGAAAAGCTGTGACACGGGTCAAGGGCTGTAACACTGAAGATAGTAAAAGGCCTGAAAGAGAACCTGTAGCACAGCTAGTGGTGATAGGCCCCAAAGGAGACCTGTAGTCTGTGGCTGAGGGTATGGTCATCAGGGAGTTGAGAAGAGACCTGTTCTAAGGAGGCCCATATGGCTGAGAGGGGCATGTGAATGGCAGAGTGAAGAGCTTGCTTACTTGCACAGCTGAGAAGAGCTGAAAGGAGCTGAGAGGAGCCAAGAGGGTTGTCCTGCTTCACTGAAGTAGGAAGGGCTGTGCTCTCTCCTCTTTGGAGAGCCTTCCAGACTTTACCTATTTGTTCTTGATCATGATCCTGAGTTATATCCTCTTGATCCTGATCCTGTTATTTTCTTAATAAACCATTTAACTGTAACTATGGTCTGTGAATTCTATGTGGCCATTGCAACGGATTATTGAATATAGCGGAAAAGTAGGAGTGGTGGTGGCAGAATTGGTAAAAAGGTTGGAGAGTAGAGGTCTGTCTGAACTGTAGTCATAGGGATCTGCTCTGGGCTGGTCTTGATTCAAATTATCCCCACTAAAGCTAGGTTGTTGTTAAGTACCATTGAGTCGGTTCCAACCCATAGTGACCCTGGATAGGGTTTTCCAGGAGCAGCTGGTGAGCTTGAACTGCCAACCTTGCAGTTCAAACGGCTTTGCAGTCTGGCGCATTAACCCACAGTGCCACACCAGGACTCCAAAACTAGCTAGGTTCTGACAATACTACTATTTCCATTTCACAGTGGGAGTTATAAGCTTAAACAGACTTTATACAATGCCTAGAATGATACTCTTAGAACATTAAGTTCTAAAACATTTAATTGAATTCACATACAAAGGTAACAATAACAAGAGCTATTAGAGATCCAGACCAATAATGTTCCCTATGTCAATTAAAGGAGTCCTGGTGTGTCTCTGTAGGATAAGCACTAGACTGTTAAGCACAAGTTTAGCAGTTCAAACTCTCCAGCCATTCCTTGGAAATCATATACAGGGTAGCTACAAGTTAGAACCAAGATGCAATGGCACTTAAAAACAACAACATGTCAGTCAATAACATAAACAATATGAAGAAACTAATAATGGTAAATTATAATCGGGCTCATATTTTAAATAATTATGGTCATTCAACTGGGAAACACTGTCTTAAAGCATGAATGATTTCATGAATAATAAGCAAGACAAAAGGAGTCATGTAGTTACGATGGTTGTAAAATATGTCCACAAATTCTCTAATACTCTACTTCAAAAAAGTAGAGCTTTATTTCTTTGCAGTCCAGGAGCAGAGGGCCCTGGGACCATCAAGGGAGAAGAACAGAGTGCAGGAGCCTACCCAGAGAAGCAGTGAGGCCAGAGATGGAGGCAGAAAAGATGACATGGAGAGACGAAGCAGCTGGGGACTCTAGACCCAGAAAGGAAGAGGGGCTGTGTGCTGACGATTGGGGGACAGGCTTGCAGGGTATATCTTTTGGTTGGTTGATGATGCATGGAGGGGACTGTAACCATGGCAATGAAATTATATACGATAGGATGAATGTAAAGCTAATGTTCTCCCATGTAAACCTTCACATAATTCATAACAAAACATTAAAAAAAAGAAGGGGAAAAAAAATTTATTTTAAGTTCTATTCATTTCTAGCAAGCAAGGTTGTGTCATCCACATATCGCATGCAGGTTGTTAAGGTGTCTTCTTTCTTCCAAACATGAGACCATGTTTTTCTTCATTTAATCCACCTACCCATATCATTTGCTCAATATACAGATTGAATAAGTATGGTGAAAGGGTATAATCCTGACACACACCTTTGCTGATATAAAAATCACTCAGTGTCCCCTTGTTCTGTTCAAACAACTGCCTCTTGGGCTATGTACAGGTTCCTCGTGAGTATAATTAAGTGTTATGGAATACCTATGCTTCACAATGTTATCCATAGTTTGTTATGATCCACAAACTTGAATGCCTTTGCATAGTCAGCAAAGCACAAGTAAACATCTTTCTTGTATTCTCTGCTGTCAGCCAAGATCCATCTGATGTCAGCAATGACATCCAAATAATAATTCAAAAATGGTTGTAGCAGTACATCAACAGGCAGCTGCTAGAAATTCAAGGTGGATTCAGAAGAGGATGTACAACAAGAGAGGTGACTCTAAGAAACTTTAAAAACATGACTAACTAAGAGTAAACTCTTCCTGTTAAACAAATATTAGAATGTCACCTAAGGAGCTCTGGTAGCATAGTCATTACGAATCAGGCTGTGAACCGCAAGGTCAGCAGTACGAAACTACCAGCTGCTCCACGGAAGAAAGATGAGGCTTTCTGCTCCCGTCAAGATTTACAGCCTCGGAAACCCTGTGCAGGGTCGCTATGGGTCAGAACCGACTCAATGGCACTTAACAATAATTTTAATTCTAGACAAACTAGCACTAATCTCAGATTCTTATCCTGAGCATAATTTCCAACAGTAGGAACCCATTCTCTCCCAGGTCTCAAATTAGAAATGGTCATGTTTCAATCTCCATCCCACAAATTAGGCAACGATCTCTCCCCAGCAATCATAAAGTCAAACTGCACACCCCATGACTAAAGGATGATGACAACAAACATTGGTCCTCATATGCCAAATACTGGTCATACATTCTTCTAATTCCCATTCTACCCTGGCACAGCCACATACTGAAATTGATAATCTACTTGTTTGAGGGCATTCTACCAGCACAGGAATAAAGGACCTATTTCCATGTTGTCCTCTCTTTCCCTTCATCAGCAATGTCAGCTTTACTTTAAGACAATTGTCCCATATCTTCCTTGAGTAGCTTTCTGGTTCACAGATGCAATTCAGACATTTCACATTATACGTGTATTATCTATTTCCTAGAAACACTCTTCTGAGCCAAGAAGAGTTTCCATCTGTGAATTAATATTTTTAACTTTTTGGTAAATTTCCTAAGGACAACAGAGTTTACCTTGACAAAGTAATCATTTTCTCTCTAGAACACAGATCCTTAACAAATCTTTCTAAAATTGATGGATTCTAACCAGGGATTGTTTAATGAAATTCAGCCAGTTAGGCTTAGCTCAATCTTTTCATTTTTCTTCACTTCATCCTGATCATATCCTAAGTATCAGGGAATACAGTTAATTTTTAATTTAATAAACTTCATGTACTTAAATATTTCACTCATTTAGGTTTACCTTTTAAGCAGTCTAAATCAGTGAAAATTACTGAACATACATGCAAAAATTTAAAACTTGGGGGGAAAAAAACTTTAAAAAAGTGAAATAAATGTAACTGTGAAAAAAAAAAGTCACACAAAAAAAAGGATGGACGTTCATGTAGCTATTTGTAAATATAGATATAAAGTATTGACAGATTAGAAAGGGATACAAATTTACAAAACATCCCTGAAGTTCTTATATAATCACTACATATTAAGACATTCAAAAACATTTTTTAAAGAAATCAAAAATAGAATATAATTTAATCTTTGGACACTTAAATAT